CTCCGAAAAACATGCATAAAGAATATACGTTCCACACTTTTTATTTGCGTTTTTCTATCCGGAAAGTTCCTTCTTAGACATCTTCCGCGTAATCATTGCTTCTATTATGCCGAGCTTTGTGTTACAAGTTTTATAGACGAGAAAGAAGAAAACCAAAGGAGGTCATAAATCAGTAGAAAAGCTTCATGTTGCCTTTCAATTTATAAGCGTCGCTGATATCTCACATTCTTGCAACATCCAGCGTGACGCAGGTCTCCATTCGTATAGCGACTCGCCTAGTGAATAGTATAGTGACTCGTACAGTGAATAGCCTCAAACTTCATTAATACTTTTCAATCTTAGCTAAATCTAATTGCTATAATTTCTCCCCCGCCCCCTCCTGGAACTTTTACAGGGACATTCAATAATAAAAGGAGCCTTACTGTCAGTACCAACAAATACTAACAATATAATTATTTACCGTGTGTGGTTAATATTGATGAATTAATGTAGAATAGTGATAATGAACCGAATTTCTTCATTCTTTGGTATTAATATCTTCTATCATATACGTACTTAACGATATTGATGCTCGAGAAATAATTAGAAAAATGTAAACTAATATGCGCTAGAATTCTAGTAAATGTGGATTAGCAGGTTCTTGTGAGGACCCACTTATGTAAAATCATTTTACTTTTCTGATAAATGAGCAATCGTCATATAGAGCCATACTGTAAGATAATTTTTACATTTTGTAAAATAAATTTTAAGAATTGTTCGTACTTACAGTCTTGAGAATAGTACCTATGATTTACTTGATGGGAAGAGAGAGAGGTGTAAGGTAATAATCACTTGAATGTGGATTTACTATAATTATAATATACTTTTTACTTTACACTTTTGATATTTTTATTTTTAGACAAACAAAATTTGTCACAAGTTTGAAAAAAAATAGCTAGAACATTTTTATTAGTGTTGTAAAAATTACTCAACCATTTTTTCCATAAAGAAATCCGAATTACTGTCAATATTATTGTCAGTATTCGTTGAAACTAAAAGTATTACTGCGGTTTAGGTGTTTAGCAGAGAAAACTTATTAGTCAATGCTTAACTATTCTTTAACGCATGATTGGTTCCTACACTTAGATTCAGCGAACTAACAATAAGAGCAAGAATCAATCATATTAAAGCAAAAATCACTAAGCGCTGAATGAGAAATTTTCTCTTCTGAACACAGCCATTGATTGCGTATAAGATCCATAATGTACAAAAAACGGAGCTGAAATATTATCAATAATATTGATTTTGTGTAAGGTTGTAAAATTATTGATGCATTGAGAAAAATTTCTGATTAAAAATAAATGAATCAGAAGATTCTGATCATAAAATGAGAATAGTTATCTCAAAATCACAGATTCAACCAGAAAATTTTGATTTGTCCATGTTCAACTAGAATTCCAATTAATGTAACCAGACTATTTTTCCAGTGCTTACTGTTAGTATTACTGATTCGATATTACTGATCACTATTATTGATCGTGCAAGGTCCATATTACATTCAATATATCGCCCTAAAAAGATTAACCTACGCTTAATAACCGAATAAATGCTACCGCTTGCCGCAGTGATACGATCAATTTCGAATTTACGTGAAGAACGAAAGCAATTCGATCCAAATGGAGCACTAAGTGGTGCATTTTCCGTCGCTATTCGTTAAAATAGTCAAAATAACCGTCGAAATTGAATAATCAACGTACCGGATGATTTATCTCTTCACACTCTTTGATAAAAATGCCCTTAGCAGTCGCTAACGAACAGGACGCAAGTTGTAACGTATAACTCATTACGCTTTAAGGTCATCATGAAATGTACGCGCTTCGCCTATAAATCAGTGCGCACAGTAAAAAACATTTTATATTTATTTTAGAAACGGTCTACTTGTTATTGTTGAGCTTCTTGTTAAAATGCTGTATTAAATTTTTTACATATTTAAGTTAATTTAACACATGTGATTATGTTATTTAAATAGTTTATGTTGAATTGATATTCAACATTTTATTAGTGTCAAAATAACATAAAAATAAGATATTTTAAAACATAAATTCTAAAACAAATGAATAAAAATATATTAATTTAATATATCATAAATATTAATTTCACTGGAAAGAATATATGTTTCCACAATTTTCTTACAAATTATATCAGTATTACTTTTTTTGTGTTAATTTTATATAATATCTGTGTGTGTTATTTTCTGACATATTCGTCCTGCGTTAAGCACAAAAATTTGAGTGGACTGTGAAATGTGTCAACTTTCATACAAATTTTCCAACAGTGTTTACTGAAATACTTCAGCGTGCTGTAGATTCTTCTTGTGAAATTGACAGTCTCGCTACAAATGAAAGTATTTTTTATTGATTGACCAGTCAAGAAGAATTTTGCTAATCGATTAATCAAAAGATGTTGCAAAGCATTTAGTATATTCACGTTGACCGTATTTCGATTCCCGAGGCCGATGCGAGTATAATTTACTCGAATTACAGGACATTCCAGATTTTCTTTCTATACCGCGGGCTTCCACGAAATTCAATCTTCGTGGTTCGGTGGTCTAGATAATTTACAGCGCGGCGCGTTACAAGGATGCACGGTGCAAAATATCGTGGAATCAGGGTCATACGGTTAATCGTGGATACGCTATAATCTCCTGTTGCGGCTACACCCGCACATCATGAGCATTATACTGCCGAGAGTACATAATGTGTGGCGGGAAACGCGAATAGATAATCCAATCCGAGGTCTGCTTTGTGCGAATAATACGATAGATGGGCTCCTGATTAAGTTTCGTTCTCGTTTGACAGACATTTTGGGAGGCTTCCGAATTAGAATTATCGCTAGCAGGTTGGTATCTTGTATTGGATCAGAAAACTTTTGAATAGCTTCTACAAATGACATTCGTATTTGGATGGAACTACCGTAAGAGTTCACATCAACTGGGATGGTATAGTTCTAGATATAAAATGTATAATTCGTAAATACGATAAAAAATTGCGTAACATATGAGAAAATTAAAGAATATTCATTTGGAAAGGAAAATTGAAGCTATTTCTCAAATTAATATTTTTGTAAAAATGAGCTCTTTGAAGCGAAAGAAATTATATGATATTTTTAAAAATATGTATTTATATTTTGTTTGTGTTGAAATCTTTGAAATATTTTATATTAAAAATTAAACCATATAAATATCCTCACTTTTTAATTAAGAGATATGAATTAAAAATGAACTTTCTGCTATCTTGTTCTATATGTGAAATGCATATATTTTTTATTTCTAAATAAATACTCTAATTTTTCTTATATCTTTTAGTACACACAATTAGGCCATTTGTGTCTTGCACGTTTCTTTTCTTTGAAATACTAGGAAACCTGACTAAATAATGATTTCTATTTTTTTCTTATTTTTAATATATAACTTTATAAATATATTTTATACTAAAGATGTTAAAGAATATGTATAAAGAACCACTTAATAATTTTTGTATGTAACTTGTAAAAATAATACAAATTAATCCGAGACGCGAACAACACATAGCGTATAGTAAATAATCAAAAAGTCATCGCGTGTGCTAAGAATTAATTGTATTTTTAATTTTCCATGACTGTTTATTACCCACAGCTGACAAATATTGTGCTCGGATCCGCGGATTCGCTAAAATCCCAAAAACGGATTCGTCATCCCTGCAGAAAAAAACACTAGTTTTTTTTATTATGAAAAATTCAAAAATATCTCATTTCTCCTGGGAGTAATAGATCTATTCGCGTTGCTTGTGTGTGTGTGTGTGTGTGTGCGCTCAGCATCTTTGCTTTCTCTCTTTTTAACGCCCAAATATGAATTTCGTTTTGGGGATTTCAAGCAACGCCAACGGACTTAATATGTTGTCATTAAAAAAAATACAATTATATAGTACATACCTATTAGGCCCGATTGTTTACAATCAAGTTAATGAATGGATGATCACTTGTTACTCTAAACAATAAGGTCATTCTAACAAAAGAACGTTCACTCTAACAATAAACGCAAAAGAATGCATATAGTTGACTGACGCTCTGACCTGAAAAATACCGAAATTCACAAAATTAGTATAATAGCGCCCTCTAACGCCTTCTAGCGCAATGAATTTAATTGATTCATTTTTTCTTCTGGTAAAGAAAATAATATCTATCGATAACCTATCTGGGATAACACAACCTAATAATAATTAATATATAGTGAAAACTTTCCTTAGAATTTTATGCAGATTGGAACACTTTTTAGAAATACCGAGAAAGTTTACATCTTTTTTAGAATTTTATATATATATATATATATGTATATAAATTTTTTAATATTCTGTTGATATATTCTATATATATATAAATTTTAAAATATTCTATATTTTTATTTTTGAAAAAATACCTTAAAATTTTACTGATCCTCCATATGGATAGTCGGCACGTACGCTTCTATCCTGTGCAGGATATATAGATACGATTTTATCGACAGTGTCAGAAAAAGGACGTGGTACGTAGTTCTCGGAGCTCAAAAATGGACGTTGATGCCCGTTTTGTTGGCAGCACTAATTTAACGGACTGCTGGCAGATTTTGAAAGTTGATCCTGTTTTCTGTTTATTTAAAGGCGTGCACGTGGACGAACGTGATTATGATCTCTATGTAACAATATTATCGCTTTTATGACAGAAATCGACGGAGAATCTTACTGGAACGCTGTACAACCTGTACGAACGATATAATAAACGTGAAAGTGTAATGTAAATAAACTCTATCCTTCCTTTTCTTTAATTTTTAAATCAAAATCTCACGTGTTGTGAAGCTATATGTTGATATTGTTCCTTTCCTCTCTGCGCTGTTTTTAATAATTTTCTTTGATTGAAGACCATAGCCGTGGAAAACTCCAAAGTGGCTTTCGTAAAAAAAAGTGACATTAATTTACAGCGAAAGGAAAAAATAATAGAGAATATCGAGAATGATGTCTAATTGGTATCCGGAGAGCTCGGCGTGTGGTTCGCAAAACTTTAAGTTACGACTTTCTGAAGATTCTACTGAAAGTACCGAAGACTCTTCTCCGCAACGTTTTGTTGCAAACAAGACGAAAGATGAGGATGATGTTATTGTGATCAGTGACTCCAGTTACAGCTTGTCTCCTGAACGTCCTTACAAATCAAAATGGGAATCTAATTCTAATGTTAAAAGTAAGGAACACCAAAAATTATATTTCTTGGATATTTCTTCCAAGAATGAACAAGAAAAGGAACCTGATTTATTATGGAATTGTATCAGAGCTGATGATAAATTTTCAAAGGAAAAGTCTGCAAGTAAAATTATTACACAAGTTAATAAGGCACTTACTGAGTCATCATTAATTTCCAACGATATCTCAACTGCTGATAGATTATTTAATGCTTTACTAACTTCTGATTCTTTAACTAATGACAAAACCACTGTCAGCAGTGGTGTGAGCGATGATAGAGATCAAGTAAATAAATCTAAAAAATTCTTTAAATCTAAGAAACACGTTGATTACAGAAGTCCTACATTAAGTACACAACAAGAAATAAATTCGAAATTAAGAAAAAAATATAACACTGAAAAGACAAATAAAGTAACTAAATTGAGCTATAATGTACATAATGGCAGTCCCAATGTTCTTTGTAAACATCCAATTTATAGTACTCCAAAGCAAATTAGTACAGGAAAAGTCAAACTTACAAAGAAAGACACATATAAAATTTTAAATAATATAAAGCGCACGCAAGTCATGTATGATTCTCCTAGGGAGAGCAAAAAGAATAATGTAATAATTGATGAGAGTACAGATATAGATGAAGATGCAGTGCATCCAGCTATATCACCTAGTTATAATAGAAAAGTACAGCATCCTGGTGATAATTCTGATGTTATTGATAGCAGTTTAAAGAATGATATTTCACGAACAGATTTACCTGAACCATCCAAGTCACACATCGACATATCAAGGGTAATGAATTCCTATAGACCTCTGTCTGAAAGGAGACAAAAACAAATCAAGGAATGGCTTTCGACAAATTTTTCTGATTCTCACAATCAGAGTGATTGCTCTTTCAATACCGTACCCCCAAGTACTAGAAACAGTAATTCTGCAAACAACAGTCTAGAAAGATTGGAGCAGAACTATGAAACTCCAAACAACAGAGGAAAAATTAACAAAACGCAAACTGACGGGAAGCAAAAGACAATAGTAAATTCTGACAAAATGGTCCATTCATTCTTGAAGGGACAAACTACAATGGACCAATATTTTAAAAAATCTAAGAATAATTCTAAACTCTACACACCAGACAATAAACCAAGGCTTTTACCAAAAGCGCAAACTGAGAAGAAAGCTTCCTCGGTAAATACATGTGCAAGTAAGACTGTAATGAACTGTGCTAATATTTTAGATAAAGTGTATGGTACATCATGGAGAGATAAAGCTAATGCATTACTTTCAACAACTAAATCACGAAAACCATCTGATCAACCAATAAATAAAATTATCCAAACAGAACGGTAAATATATACGTTTCTATTATATTATTTAATATGAATACATGATACGATAGTTAGTGATATGAGAGTGACTTTTTAAAAGAAGACTATGTTAAAAAATAAGTCAAATTTTCAAAAAGAAGTTAAAAATAGACTTATCGAACTACCATCGTATATCTAATAAATTATATATTTTTTATCACAGGAAACCTGTATCAAGGAATCAGCATTGTACAATAATTTCGGATTCGGATAAATCTGACTCGAGTAAGAAATTATGTTCTATTTTATTTTGAAACCTATTTTGATAATTTTCTTTAAAAAAAATTGTATGTTTTAGTTGAAAATAACATTAAACCAAATCGAGGAAGGAATATTCAACGAAAACAAAAAGAAATGGATGATTTTATCAATGATGAATCATTATCAAGTAATGATAGTGGAAGTATATATCACAGTGCAGTAACAAATCCTATAAATCCTATTTTTACAAGTAGCACAACCAAATCCATACCAGCATCAATTAAACGGTATACTTATTATTTATTGTAATAGAGATATTGAACTTAATTAAATATTACATTTTGGATATAGACTTCAGACTATATGTGATACGGATACTGAAGATGAAGATGATGAATCCAGAAGAATAAAAAATGTGCAGAGAACATTGTCATTTAGTGATGATGAAAGTTCTAATACGAGCGAATTTGATCCTGGAGATTATATACCACCGAAACACGTACGTGATAAAGGTACGGGATGCACGATAAAATTTGTTTAAATTAGAAATAAAAATTAATCTTAAGAGAGCATATACATCTAGACGGATCAAAACGAGGTCTAATTTTGCGAATTTTTTTATGGAAAAACGGATAGAGATAGAGAAGTCGGGTTTGTTCCATTGTAAAGGTGATATTTTTCTTTATTTGTCATTAAAATTTTATTTAAAAATAATATAAAATGGAGTTGCTATTCAAATTTTCGTAGGTCATGTTTCATAAAACGGGGTTTGACCATTGCTACTCGCACAAGACTCGTTTGAAAGCAAAAAATGAAACAAGTTTTAAAGAAATGAAACATAGATCTTGTGCTTGACGTAGCCGTTTTTAAAATATTGCGTTTGAATAAAATGGCAGCTGGTCAAAGTTAACATAACGATTTTTCACAAAAAAAGTTTTCTCATTTTTGGTTACGAAAAAAAAAATTAAGCATCGTAGGAAAAAATGCTACTTCAAAAACTAGCTTTTAGTATGTAGAAAAAGTGTGTAAAATTGCAAATCGATCGGTCGAGCCGTTTTAAGATACAGTGATCATGCGTTTTGAAAACTACGTTTTGAGAAAAACGTGTTTAAAGTTTTACAATACATTCGGTTTATACTTTTTGTTGCTAACGTTTCAAACTTTTCAATTGTTTGTCCAGACAAGACTGTTACACAATCAACTCTGAGACTTGCTATTGATAAATACAATGAATAGAGGAAGACCCTTCTTTGACCTGCGCAAACTTGACTCGTCCTGTCGCAAGCACGCTTACCTGTCGTTTTAACGCGCTCAAACTTACTCGTTTATAATTTCGTGTAATTGCTATTTTTCTGAATTTGTCTCTATTTATACCGGATTAATTTATAACTTTACAAAAACATTCTTAAGACATTATACTTTAAAAATATTAAAAAAAAATTTATTTTTTCATCACCTCTAGGTGTATATGCCCCCTTTAGGTTCCTGAATAGTCACCGTGGCCATATTGAATCGTAACGTCAGAAGCGAGAAATGGCATATTAATTTTTATTACGTGTCATTTGTAAATAAAGATTTGGATAAAATGAAATTATGAGATCGCTTTAAAATAATTGTAAAAATAGATGAAAACTATCCTTATCCCCACTGACAGTCAATAAATAATCGTAAAAAGTGATAAAAGGCACGTCATCATTTTATTTTATCCAAATTGTCTTTATTTACAAATGACAACAAAAATTAACGTATCATTTTTTGCTTCTGACGTCATGATTCAATAAGATGATGACTACTTAGGAACCTTAAAATGGAATATTATTGGTAACAAAACCTGTATACAATAATTTTATAATATATAATTTTTAGAAGTTGCCAAAAGACAATTACCATCTAAAGTAGCACCTAAATTTGAATCAACTGTGACTAAGTCTGTATCAAGATACAAAACCTTTTTAGCATCTTTATCAAATACGATTCCAATGTTTGAAGCTCATCCGAATACAAAAAAATATAGATTGGATTACAAAAACAATAAAGAAGAATTATGTAAAAAATTGTATCAACTGTATAATGAGAAAGTGTTTGATAATAAGTTACCGCAAGATATGTCGATTGAATGGAACGTTCGTATGAGAGGAACTGCTGGATATTGTTATAACCGAAAGTTTATGAAAGGTATTAGTGGTACTATTAATAAATCTTCAAGGATTGTATTAGCAACAAAGGTATGCTCTTTTTGTTTCTTTTTCTCATTCTCATATGTGTGTTCAAATACAATCAGTCATATTGAAAGAAATTATTTTAGATTTTAGACACGCCAGATAGACTAAGAGATACTTTGATCCATGAAATGTGCCATGCTGCTTGCTGGATAATAGATAATGTCTCAGATGGTCATGGAGTTTTTTGGACAAGATGGTAGGTTATGATGCAGTATTATCAGATACCCTGTGTGTATATATTTACATATATATGTATATATATATATTTAAATTTTTATTTTGCTACAAAATTCTATATAGTGAACGCACATTTATAGTAATCATTTTGCAGAATTTTATATGATTTATTTTATATTATAGGGCTACTAAAGCAATAAAAACGTTTCCTGAATTGCCACCAATTCGCCGATGTCATAATTACGAAATTAAAACTAAATACACGTACAAATGCACAAATTGTGGATACAGGTATTGGATTGATTGTATGATGTATGAAAATTAATTTTATTCTTTGTTATATTTCTGAAAGTTATATCTTTACTTTGTTGCAGTATTGGAAGGCATTCAAAGTCCTTGGATATTGAGAAAAAGCGATGTGGCTATTGTTATGGAAAATTTGAATTGTTAATTAACAAAATAACGAAATCTGGTACTACCGTGCAAGTGCAGACACCGAAAAGAGAACCCACTGGTTTCGCGCTTTATGTAAAGCAGAATTATAACTCAGTGAAAAAGGAGAAAAATAATATGAAACATGCTGACGTAATGAAGCTTTTAGGTCAGCAATTTTCAGCAATTAAAATAGCAAAGAAAAATGACGTAGCTAGTAATTAAAAATGACGCCTAGCTAAAAACATCAAATGTATAATTCAAATTTTTATAAGCGATTTTTAAAATCCCGTATAATTTTTAATCAGTATGTAATAATTTTAGAGCAGGTTTTGAAGTTGATAATTGTATTTATTTAGATTTCAGACCTCTGCATGTTTTATTATCGAAATCATAAATACATGCAGTCATAGTATGTAAATATAATATTTTAGAAGACTGATACTTTTTTACTATTACAGGCACTGGAATGTGAGATATCTTATAGATTTCACATGTTACATCTATATATGATATAGCATATTTTTATATATATATAATGTAAAATATTTATATATATTTATTATATTTATACATATATATTATAAAAGTTAATGTATCTAACATGTGAGATATTTTATAACTTGGACCGTGATTTAGGGACGTTATTTAGGTAACTTTTTAAGTAACAACTAAGACTTAACTGCCATAGCATTATGTAAAATGTATTCAAGAGTGCTGCTTAAGTAAGAACTGTACTAATCATTTTGTAATAAAGGTTTAATTATAAACTATATTGTTTAAATAAAAAATTCAGTCAATGGTATGGCGGTGGTAGCTTGTGTACGAATATTAAAGCAATTGATATAATTACTGTACTAATTTTGATTTTACAATGTTTCTAGAGTTAATTGCTGTAAGAATATTAGAGGTGTGCGAATTAGTTTGAATCGAATCGAATCCACTGTGATTCGATTCGATTCGTTTTTGAATCTAATAGCGTTTTCGGCCCGGCCAGGTTTGCACCAACCTGGGTTGGATTAATGGCGTTTTGTGCTCTCCTATTGGTAGAGTGGGTGACGTCAATAGGAAAGATTAATCCAACCAAAGGTTTGTTCGCGTCGCATACTCCAACATGCTTCAACATGATCCTACCATAGCTCCTACTCACTCTAACGAGCGCGTTTGAGTGAGTAGAAGCTACAGTTGGAGGAAGTAGGAGTATATTGGAGCATGCGACGCGAACAAACCTCAAGGTTGGTGCAAACCCGATCGAGCCGAAAACGCTATAAGAGATTCGAAAACAAATAAGAGTGAAATCACACGATGCGGAATAGGACTGTGGAATAGAGAATGCGTCATTGGCCGCGGTCCGATTCACTCTCACACGCTTAAAAATCATTTCATCCTTGTTGTTTGTCAAATGTTAAACGAAGACAAACGATGCTCATGAGCGTTGTCAGCATGAATTAGACCACGGCCATTGAAGTAACCAATTAGCGCTATTTCGCATTTGATGTTGCGGAACACAGAGTGCGTCATTTTGACCTAAACCGTATTCTTGTAATAAAAGCTGGAAACACAATAGGCACAGGCAACAGGGAATAACGAGCCGTCCAATCAGAGCTTTGTGGTATAAGTTCGATATTATATCCCAGAGCTCTGATTGGACGGCTCGTTATTCCCTGTTGCCTGTGCCTATTGCAATAGGTGTTTTAAGCCTTAAGCCATAAGAAATTGACCAGCTACAGTCGAATGCGAGGAGAATAATTGATTGTGATTCGTCCATTCCTTATGGTTTAAAGCTTAAAAATCTATTGTAGATCCGGGGTTAGAGCAGACAGTTTCCGCGCGACAAGCGATCGTTCGTTGCTCAGTGCATCCAATCGAATTCGCTATTTGATAACGTTGTGCCGTTGAAAACGCGGCGGAATGGCGGGTCGGCGCGGCGGCGGGCGGTGTTACAGCGGCGCGTCTGTGGCGCACTCTAAAAACAGTCGTGCCGAAGATGGCGACGTGTGAGCGGCGGCGTCCGCGCGGTGTTTAATCGGGGAGCGAGAGAGAGCAAGAGGAAGGTGTATCATGTTGCCGCGGTCGCAGGATCTGCAGTGTTTCCGTGATCCGCGTTAAGTTTCGTGCAAATGTAAAAGGAATGTCAGAGGCGAAACGGGTGCCCCTGCAAACCCTGGAGTTCCCGGAGCCCCTGGGCCACGCGACGAAGAAGGAGAAAAAGGGGAACATGGGCAAGCAGCTCGCGCCCTCCTTCCGCTTCACGCTTACCCTACCCGAGTCCAACGAGAAGACATGCCCGGAATTCAACTATGCCCAACTCCTCAAGTCGGCGGAGGTAAGCTATCAAGCGATACATCCGCACCCATCATTCCCATAGGGAGGGGAAAACAAATGACCGTATGTCAAGCCTTGTGTCATACACGCATAAAACATACGGAGAAATGAAAGAGAGAGAGAGAGAGAGAATGTGAGCGTGTGAGTACAAGATGGGAGAAGGGGGAATAAAAAAAGAGAGAGAGAGAGTGAGAGGGACACACATGATGGAACGCGTGTGGCTATCTATCGACGGGACGTGGACGCCGAAAAGGCGCGAGGGATCCTCGTCGAGGTGGCTACCGCGCCGATTGTCACGCGGCTCGCGTCGCCACCGTGCACGCCGGAATTTATCCGGCCGCATGCATACAAGACAAGGAATGGCAGACGACAGACGGCGGTGGCGGAAACGAGACGGGGCGAGAACAGTTTCTTGATCGATTCACTGTCCTCCGCCGTGCCGGATCCGCGCGTTGTCAACGTCACCGCCGTCCAACATTCAGCCGTACGCTGTCAGTCAATCAAGTCAGATTTGCATCTTCAAGCCGAACGCAGTTTTCTATCATTCTCTCCGAAGAAACGCGCGGCGTCCTTCGTGCGCGTCCCTTGTCCCTTCTGCTCGTAAAACGTCTATACGAGAGAGTTGCCATTGCGCGACCGTCCGGCATTTCGTCTGTCTCTGTCTTGCCTCCGCTCTCTGTCTCTCTTCCTCTTTCTATATCTTTTTCTCTGTTCTCCTTCGTGAAGAAGGGAAAAAGACACACACGTATGCGACGGCGGCGATGCCTTATTCGTGTGTGGAGCGTCTACGCCGGTCTATTTCGCAAGCCATGTACATTTCGTCCGGCGAGTCTTGCTGTATGTGGGAGAAGGATACGCGGAATACGCGCGATCGGGAAGAGGAAGAGCGGGAGAGAAAATGTGGGGAGACAGAGAGAAAGAGAGAGAAAGAGAGAAAAGCGACACATCGTGCGTGAACGTGTGGTCGCGCACGGAGGTCTCTTATTTCACGCGCGCGCGAGAGAGCGTGCTGCGGGACAGGGACTCTCCTTTCTGAATTGTAGATCGATGCACCGGAGGAGACTCGTAACCGCCGACACGTATCGAATACGCCGCTCGAGACGCGTGTCACGCGCTCGCGATTCCCCATCCTCTCCCTCACCGCTGCCGCGCGGTACAAGTGGATAATAAAATAAATAAATAAGCACCCGATCTAATTTGATGTTTTTATTATTACTTCGATAATTGGCGTACAATCGACTTCGAAATCCTTTTCAGCGGAAAACGCATAGTAGATGCGATCCTGATAGAATGCGATTTGAGACCATCCCTAAGAACAAATCGCATATTTTACGATCGACAGGGCTTTCAATCGATTAATTTAATTTTTAATAATCTATCTAATTTCTTTAGAATAAAGTAATAATTTAATTTAACAACAAATTAATAATGGGTAATTGAGAGTAACAACTGCGTGGTAATTTGCAATTATTTAACAATTATATTTCTGAATTCCTTCGAATTAAAACATAATTAGAATTAATTAATTTAGTTGCCATTATTTATTGAAAGTGTATCAGATATATAGTCTCTGCACAAAAAAGTGATTGGAATTATATATTTTTTTTTATAAAAATGAATGCTGTATACATTTGAAACAGTTTAAGATCACAATAATTTATATTTAACAATACATATATTTATAGTTTTTCAATAAAAATTTTCTCATTTTATTTTAATTGCTTTTTAAAAACACGTTTTTTTTTATCCAAATTCTAAATTTCAAATTGCTACTCTTTTTTTGTATCACTTTCAAATACAATACAGAAAAAAATTCCAATTTTTTCATATTTTGTTTATATTTTTTGTTAAAAAATACATGTAATACATTTTTAATAATTATTTTTGAAGCCATTTTGATGTTATCACAATTCTTCGTTCTGTTCTCTCTTTTTTTGTAAATAAATCGAGAATTTATGGATGTTATTGGACGATCTCGAACATACCACGATATCCGTTACATAAAATATTTTATTTTCAAGTGAATGCATGAAATTCGTACGTGAATTACGCTATCCGTTGTTGCGCTTTCAATCGCGTTTGTGTCTCGCGAAATAACGAGTTTGGCGGGACGGAAGGGCGATAAATCGTCTCTGAAAAAACATTTGCACTCGTTCCTACTCTTTTCATTCAGTACGTCTGGATTATTCCAGCTCTTTCGAGCAATGCCGCTTTATTTATTTTCAACAACGGTCACGCTGCTGCGTGCAATTTGCAGCTTTGTTTTGGTCGCGCACGTGTTTTTGAAAACGTGGCACGAATTCGCTGGCGAATCAAATTTCGAAGTGACGGCGGCGCGCATTTCGAAAATTTGCAACGTAAAATCGATCGACCGTAAGATATATAGAATTGTTGCAATTAAATGAGAATCAGCGTTCGTGAAAATCAAATGTTATTCTCTTTTTGTTTAATACGCAGCTATATTCAGTAAGCTCGTTTTATTTTTTAACGCTCGTGTTCACCCATCACTATTACATATCTCATATTATAACATCAGAAGCAAAGAAATACATAATAAAAATTCTTGCAGTTATATTTGAATAGAAATTTCTGGGATGAAACAATATTTGCAATTGATAAAATATAAAATATATCGACAATTATCTTCTTGTTTTGAGGATAAATTAAATAATATTTGTTTCTACATATTAATTTAACAATTCGTAGTAGCTATGAACATAGTTTATTCCATTTTTGGTTATGCATAATTTATTTCCAGATATACGCTTTATATATTAATTAAAGAAATAAAAATATATTTTACAAGTCGGTTTTATCGATTGTTGTTTTATTAAAATACATTTTTATATTAATATATGTTACAAGAATTTTTATTGCGCATCTTCTTGTTTCAGATGTCACAATCTGATTGTGAGACAGATGGTAAACAAGCTTTAACTACTCTCTTTTTCTCTCGCATTATTTTCACCGTGCGACTATCGTGTTCGCGTTCTTCTCTTCTATTCAATTTTATCTGAATTTTTTAATTCATCAAGCGATAAAATCGCGTTACTGGGTTAGCCCCGTATTTTTTTTTTAAATTCCGATAATAACCGCGAGCAGTGAAGCGGTGTGAGAAAAAGCGATACCGTGCAGATTCGCGATTATATCTGACTGATTAATTGAGTAACTAATTGAACGATTAACACGGCCGATTCGATCAAGACGCGTTTGTGCAGAAAAGAAAGAAACCAACTGATTCTCGATCGTCAATAACCACGTCGCAGACAGGATCAATCGCTCGATTCGGCGTCCCTTCGACAGGGGAATAGGAGACCGTAGGAGGTGGTTCGTGACGTCGGAAAGAGCGCGAAATTGCAAGGATGACGCTCTGACTGCTTTATGCGCTCCTGATATCCTTGGACACCGCCAGCATCCTTTCCAGTCTGTTCATCCTTTCCAGAGTCGCGCACACCGCTTTTGCTTTTACAATTATGAGTGGAAATTAGATTTTTGTTTCTCTCTTTGGTTTTTGTAATTCTCATTTCTGAGAACGTGACAATGGTCGGTATGTATAGTCCATTCTTGTATTTGAGACTGTCTTAAATACAGTCTAATAGGCTATCTACGATAAGCCAGTTATCTAAGCTTTAAGCCTTAAGCCGTAAGAAATTAACCAATCACAGTCGATTATTCTCACATTCGATTGCGATTGGACAATTTCTTACGGCTTAAAGGTGAGAGTACATTTATGCGTTTTTATGCGACAAATTTATCGAGCCTTAATTGGCTGTAACATAGAGAGATTCAAGAACTTTTCTGTTCTGCAGCCTTTGTCGTACGACAAAAACGGGGATAAATAAAATATTACTCTGAGACTTCGCTTATTGTAGAAAGCCTGTTAAAATGTCATAAGTCAATCAGAGGACTGTATTAGCAATACTTAAGACATTACTTGAAACAATTTTGAAATAGAGATTGAATACGATCCAATAATCTTATTTTGGAACAAAAACAAGACTGAATTGTTTTCGATGAATATATTAATATGAATTAAACTACGGATTTTTTATTGGTCCTTCTATTTCGATAAAAACCGCCACGAAAGTCTTCAATTAATTTATAGCATTCGCTCTATGTATGTAGAGATATGGTGACTCATGGTTGAATCATCAAATAGACTTTCGTAATTTCTTAATTATCTCCTCAGGAGAAATAGTATAAATACATTATGTGTGACGCGATAAAAGTTATTCCGTACATACTCTATGTATGAAAAAATAGTGCTTTTGAAAGAGATTTTACCAATGATATAAATTTGACTAATATTGATCGTAAAAGATATTTTATTTTTAACAATACATTTATAATAATAGGTCTGTTTTCTGTGGCTGAACTAGTACACTTTTGAAACTTAAAGTAAGATAGATTTACGTTCGATATTTGTTTAAAGCGAAAAAGAGAGTTCTAGAACAGTCTAGTGCAGAAACAGAAAACAGACCAAATATAATAATTATTATTATTATCACACAAATGGATGGAAAATGACATATTTGGTCAAAGCGGATCTTCGTATCTATAATAATAATAAGATACCTGATCCAAATAAGGCCCACCTAATTTATTTTATTTTTAAAAAATTCTATTTATGAGGATATTGAAATAAACTAAGTGAGAATTAAATCTTCATTTTATTCACCTCCAAAAATAAAATATATTATTTATAGAATATTTCTAAATGAACGAAAACGTTAAACTCTGATATTGGATCTTATTATACTACATGCATATGAATATAAAAAGACCCAAATCAAAAGTAAATTAAAAATAACAAAAAAAGTAAACATTATCTTTCTAAATCGTTTTAAAATGGTTATTAATCATAGAAAGGAAATTCCTTAGGACTTATTCTACTCTCAAACACTACAATTATCTCTGTTATCTCTGAGTCTGATATTTTTGACTAATTTTTTGATTATCATATTGAGATGTTTGAATGTACGATGAATGTTCTCTCTCTCTCTCATAAAAGTTTTATTAACATACGGTTTTTCTCGCATATATCAATATTAATAGTTTTTTGTGGCAATACATGCAATATCTAGAAATTTCAAGTTTTCGATCTGTAAGTCGTTGACAAAGAAATTTTGGTTCTGGACACCCATCGAGCATTCAAAAAAATTTATCAAGGAATTAATGAATATATATGGATATCTCTTGAAGAATAATTATGGATCATCTGAAGATGGCTTAATAATAAGCTGAAACATGTAATGGTTTTATAAACTTTAATTAAATTTCTTTGTATTTATGTGATATATTTATATTCAAGTATTTATTTGACTCTTATATGTCCTTTTTAATGTCGATTTAGTTTTTTATTACAATTATCTTTAATTTTGTTTGTAATTAACTCTTCAATCTTTAGAAATTTCTAACAATTTAAATGCAATTTTAACTTTTTAAAAGATAGCAGTATTGAAAATCGTTATTTTTTGGCGTAAATTCCTCCACACATAACAAACAAATAATAATAGCTATAATAATAATCGCATAAGTGGGCCTTATTTAATAAGTACATTGTTTAAAAAAAATATTGATACTTATTTATAAAATGAATTTATTTGTTATTTTCCGTAATTAGGAAGTTGAATAATATTATAATAAATGATAATAAATTATGAAACATTGTGTACTGCTAAATTTTGCAGCGGATTGTGTAAAAATGGCTCATACACACAAGTTTTTGTTGTGTTAAACAAATGTGTTGCTACCGATTTCAATTTTTTAATTCCTTTTTATCTACTTCCTATGATATATCTTTTAAGCATATACTGCAGACGTAAAGCAAGTTTTAAAGTAATAAATTAAAAAGTGGACCTTATTTAGTGCTGGGCTTTATTCGGCTCAGGTACCTTATTCTTTGTGAATTTCTAATTCAAATAACCGTGCGCTGATTATTTGTCAGTCTTGAAACAGTCGTAGATTGAAGCTAGAATAGTAATAAAATTGACAAGCAATTTAATATTATCGTTGCTAATAAGTATCTTTAAAATCCTGTAAATAAGTTTGCATGATGCGATACCGTTATTTTACATGTGAAAAAAATTATGCTTTTGAAATAGATTTTATTTAAATTGCGAGAAATAATAATAATAATTTTTAAATCGGATTCGACAGCCTATACATGAGTGCGCGTACAGATACGCGGTTTATATTCTCTCTGATCGATCTGAATTTTTTATAAATTAGTGAAAGTGGTGCAGAGAGCGAAGTGAGATAGAAAGCGATTTGATTGTGAATTACTAGGTCGGTTCGCGAATGTGCAACAGGATTTTGATGCGTAACTCGAACGATTGTAAATTAATCTATTTATTTTGCAGAAAAAACGAAGGAAAGAACAAAAGAGGGGAGATGAAAATGCAACCAATGGATTGGATCCATTCGACGATGACGATGACGAGGATAAGCTTAAAGACATGGCGAGACGGTTCGAGGCAAAATATGTATGTTGACGATAAAAAAATCTGATCTTTGAAATGATATCAACAGACGGTTAATTATTTCTCGTTGTCTCAGGGAACCTCTACCATGGGAAAGAAAAGGCACAAGTATGATGATTACGTGGACTTGGGCGCAGGATATGACGAAAATGATTCCTTCATCGACAATACTGATGCTGTACGTTAAGTCCTTTTCCATACGTAAGAAAATATCTTCAAAGATCAATCAATTTTTAATACAAATATTTTGTCAATAGTATGATGAGATCGTACCCGAAGAGATGACCACGGCGCACGGAGGATTCTATATTAATTGTGGAGCTCTTGAGTTCAGAGCAGCCGATAGACGTTCGTTAGTCCATAATAATAATAATAATAATAATAATAATAATAATAATAATAACAATAATAGCGATGATGAGGAAAGTAGCGAAAGTAGCGAGGAGGATACCGAAGATGTAGATAGTCCTAATCCTAAAAGAGTAGATAAACGAATCATTAGCTCCTCGGATGACGATGAGACGGAGGATATTACTGGTGATAACCCGCGAAAGGTAATTGTTTTTTAAGGAGGTTGTAAGGGCACAAAACACATATATTAATATTTTCGCTTTAAACAAATTACATACATTTGAAAGTTGTGTTCATAACATTCTGGTTTTATTGAGCAACACATTTTTATAGGTTATTTATTTTATTTGTTATTAGTTTTATTGTTATAAACAAAAATTGTTAAAATAATAAGAAAAATCTAAATGTTTTTATATAAATATATTAAGTACTAAACATGACTTATGCAAAGTTTCATTGAGATTCACCATTAGTTTATAACAAATAACACATTTTATTTATTTACTGAACAATTAATGTCTGCATTTCAAGATAACTTTACAAAAATATTGTTGAATTCCTAGAGTATTTATGTAAAAAAATTGAGATTTTTATCATTATTTTATAATACATTTTCATATATTTATATTAGAGTATATTTATATTTATATTAGAGTATATTAGAGTAAATTAAAAAAATATTACTACTTATTTAAATAACTTTTGATCCAGATGGTCAATTGTTTCTATTTTTTTTGTATTATTATTAAATGAAATTTAGAATAGTCTGTAATTTTTTCAAGTAGTTCTTAACATATTGCATTTGCCTTACAACCTCCTTAAATATACGATATTTGCTATAATTCATATTTGCTTGATACTACAAATACTTTAAAGTATTTTTTGATTGATCAATTAGTAAAATTTTTTTTTCTGGTTGGTCAGTGTAGTACTTTAAAGCATTTGTAGTGTTAAGTAAACTCCATTATTTATTTAATACTACAGTATATAATACTTTGCCCGTATGTTATTCTGTAATGCTTGTTACAGAGACGGAAAATTGAGGAAAATAGCGAGAAGAAAGTTAATCACGAGAATAGCAAAAAGAGGAAAAAGCCGCAAAATCATCAAGCGCAAGATGCACAACAACAAAATTCTCAACCAGATTTGGATCTTTTGAGACGGAAAGAAAAGAATGAAACGACAGATGCTGAAGGAGGTACAGGTATGTGTCTCACTATCTATATTATTATTAAGTTATTAAAAATTTTCGATTTACACACATTATTCATGGAATAATTCTGGTGATTTTAGCTTCGGAAGATCAAGAGGAGAAGAAAAAATCTGATAAATCAGAGAAAAATAAAATAAATGAGAAAAAGTTTGATATCAAAAAGTTCGAAAAGAAATCATCAAATAGTAATGGATACGACGCGAAGAAGATAGATCTAAAGAGATTGGACGCTAAAGATAGTAATATTGACGATGCGATAGAGAGCGTTGTTAATGCAGCAGCTAGAGGAATCGAAGACGAATCGAGTCGTGATACAACAGATTCGGGGAAATCCCGCATTTGCCTTTACGTTGAATCCGACGGCGAGGAAATGGAGAATAAGGAAGCATCTTTGCCTGAGAATCTACCCGAGGATATAAGAGAGATAGTGAATAAATTAAAAGGTCAGGCGGAAAACAGCAAAGATGGCGGCAAAAGCAA